AATAACTTGGCTAAAATTCAACTTATGGAGAAACTGTCAGCTCATTCTACTCAATTCAATGAGAGGAAACAGCCCTGAAAATTTCAGATTAATTGAACTTATACATCCTGATATCTCCTTTCTCAAAGGTATAAAATGTGTGTTTTCGGAAATTCACACATAAATTTCCAAGAGAGTTTCTTAACTCAGTCACACAGAAACAAGAGGATAATAGTCCATCATTTGACCAAATGCAACATTAAAATTTTGTAACCGTGCTATTTATATCTACTTAGCTTCAGTGTAGCCCCTGAAGAAGGTTAGTCCTGCCTAACCGAAGTATTGGGCATTAAATTTACCCTTCTCAGCCGTCCGGTCAGACTTTCAATTAGCTTTATGCTATATTTTAAGGAATCCTGACAAATTGTCTCGAACTTTCAATAAAACAGAAATCTAAGAGTTCTGAAATGTTAATCAGAAAAACTGAAGCAAAATTCCCGACTAACTCATCGTCTTTAACAACTGATCTCAAGAGCTGTCACCCGTCAGAGTAAAAAAAAAACAAAAAAAAAAAAACAAATCGACCACAGCTTTCCATGATCTAAACTGTTATATCTAAGCTTTCTCCAGGTTATACCTTCTGGGTCTTGCTCACTTGAGCAGAAAGCCCGTGAAAAGTGCAAAGATACACGACGAAAATTACGGTGGGACAAACTGTAAGCCAAAAGAGAGGGGATGAGGCTATCAGGGGAAGGAGTGGCTCAGGGAATGGGGGCGAGACAGTAAAAAAGCCAAGAGAATGGGACGAGACTATAAGGAGGAAGAGAGGGCGAGGGAATTGAGGCGACACAGAAAGGAAGCCAGGAGAATGGGGCGAGACTATAATCTGACGAGAGGGCGAGGGAATTGGGGCGAGACAAAAAGGAAGCAAAAAGTATGATGCGAGACTACAATGGGACGAAAGGGCGAGAGAATTGGGACGAGGAAAAAAGGAAGCCAATAGAATTAAGTAAGAAAAGAAGGGGGAGCAGAAGGTGGGAAGGGAAGTGGGACGAGACAAACAGTAAGCTAAGAGAATGGGACGAGACTACACCGGAGGAAGGGCGAGCGAACCTAGGGCGAGACAATTCGACTTGGCGAAGAGCTGGGGTGAGACAAGAAGAAACCCAGGGGAATTGGGTAGGTGCTGTTAAGAGAGGAGGGGGTGAGGGCAATACTGTACCAGTGAGACAAAAAAGAAACCAAGGGAGTAGGAGTTAAGCTAACAGAGGGAGGGGAAGGTGAGGGCTGTAAGAGTGAGACATTAAGAAAGCGGTGGGACTGGAAATGAAGCTAACTGAGAGAGAGGAACAGAGTAAATCGCGTATTAATCGCCTGAAAATAGACTTTTGCAAAGTCCTTTCTATATTAGTGTTTCTAGGGTTCTTTTCGTTGCCCACCGTCGCTGAAGTAGCTCGACTTTACAACTTCTTCCCTTAGTAGCAAGTCTCGTGACTCAGCGACTAAATATTAACGGTCGACTGGCTTGTGCACAGTTATCACAAGACTGCATTTTCGATTAAAAATTCAAACTGATCTAGATATTGATGTCCTTTACTGATTGAAGGTGGAGTTTTGTTTATCTTGATCATTAAAAACAACTCAAAAGCGCGTATGATACCAAACGAATGTATTAAAGGACTTTAACATTGAAATAATTACTGTTGAATTAGTAAACGACAAGGAAATGATCGAGTGCAGTAAACTAACTTCATTGTTAACCGTTGGCTGGATTTATACTAGAGACGGATCATCCGTTTGGGATGAACTTGGGCAAAGAAGGATAGCACTAGCTCATCCAATAATTCGTCTGTGTATAAATACGGGCAAACAGACGGACCATCCATCTAGACGGTTATCCACGAAAGTTCGTGGGTCAAGACGAACTATCACGATAATGCGTCTGGACGGATGATCCGTCTGTTTGCGCGTATTTATACACAGACGAATTATCGACGAACTATCGTTCTTTGCCCAAGTTCATCCCAGACGGATGATCCGTCTGTAGTATAAATCCGGCCATTGAATCAGTAATTTTGATTTGAACATAACTTGACGTTTAGAGTTGAGAAAACACATAGAAACGAAACCAACCTATTTCATTGGATATAAAGAGGAACTTTCATAGACATAATTGGCAGAAATGTCAGTAACGAACTGTTAAAAACAATGGACAATGGTAAATGACGAACTGGAAGGAACATGAACGTTGCGTCATAAAAATTTTGCAAACCGAACAATTTTTAGGGCAACATTTTCCTCCTTTTTTTTCAAAAATTATAACTGATTTTTCACTGCGTTATACTTAATGAATCTTTCCATGTTAACGTTGGCAATCGACCAAGAAGACATCCGGAAAGAGAAGGAAAAGTTGTTATGGCGCGTGGACTGTATTTGCTTTTCTAGGAATGAGAAATGAACCTGACAAAGATTTGGTTCGCGAACGACAAGTTTTAAAACCAACCAAAATGAAACAACCCAGAGGATCACTAATGAACCAATCGCTAGCAGTTCTTGTCAGGATATGACCCCAAGCCGATCGAACGTTTATTTTGCAGGTAAGAACATCTGCTTATACAACATTCACGAAGCGCCTGTTCATCGATGGAAACAAAAATTGAACCAGCAGGAAGAAGAATGAATTTAGATCGAACTCTAAAGTTGGCCCGCCTAAATTTCTCCAATCCAAACAGATTGTGTGTATGTTCTTGATATTCAGCAGCAAGTCAACCTACTGATGTGAGCGTTAGATAAAACATAGTAGAGCAATGAAATCTTCTGTTGAGTCCGTAAAATTTTAATATCAAACACATCATGATGCAGTTTTTAATCCCGCACTTTCTAGACGTGTAGACAAGCTTTATTTTAGTGCTGTCGCTAGACACTCTTCAATTATTTCGATATCTTTGACGAAATTGCACATTTGAAAACTGTAATTGAAAATATTCAGGGTCATACGCGTTCATGTTAAATTTGCTTTTTCCTTTTCAGTAGGTCCTCATACAGGTTTTAGCGTTCTTTCTTTAGATTCAGTCGCGTCTTGTTTGTTTCAGTAAGTGAAATGTGACTTAAGAAAAAAATCTGACCAATATTATTAATAAGTAGTGAATAATTATGCACAATCAAAGTTTATTTTGATAACAATAATTTCGATTTAAAAATCAAGCTTTCTTTTAGAAAGAGGTCTTATTTTTCACGAGAGTTTGTTTCCGCCTTTACTAGAAAAAGTCGCTGTGTGGCTGTATTAAGTAGACTGTCCATTCTCCGTAATTCTGCTCTGGCGTTTTAGCAAATCTAAATTAAACAATGCAAACAGTAACGCGAACTGTTTACCATTTACATGGCCTCAAAACACCAATATAAATCGAAACAATCACGCTGACTTGAAAGAATTTACTCAGTGACTAGTGAGGTCGAAAACGTTGAAGTTATTCCATTCCACATTACGAAGCAGCTGACGAAGTGATCAGGCTATAGCTACACTTGATCGAGATTTGCATGAAAATGACATTTTCGCAATTGAAAAACAAAGAAGTTTGCTAGGTTTGCTGCCACAAATAGATAAATCAATATATAATGATCCAAGGCTTGGCGATTTCGATTTACATGCACTGATTGGCCGCCATTACCATTATATCATTAAGAAATATTCCTGCTATTTGGTAAGAGATGTAAGAGTTTGAAAAGCATAACATTACATATAGTTTTTTATCTTTAAGTCAAACGTCTGCCGTCATGGTGTATTTTATATTTGTATATTGAAGTATAATTACTTATAACTTACTCATTACTGACGTATAATACTAACTCAAGCAACAGTGTTTTAGTTACTGAATACCATTTCTAAGTTCAAGTTTTGAAGACAAATTTTTTTTTAAATCGTCTAAACTCGAGGGCAATGATTTGCACTGTTTTTCGCCCCAGGAAAACAGAACATTGCACGTNTTTTGATAACAATAATTTCGATTTAAAAATCAAGCTTTCTTTTAGAAAGAGGTCTTATTTTTCACGAGAGTTTGTTTCCGCCTTTACTAGAAAAAGTCGCTGTGTGGCTGTATTAAGTAGACTGTCCATTCTCCGTAATTCTGCTCTGGCGTTTTAGCAAATCTAAATTAAACAATGCAAACAGTAACGCGAACTGTTTACCATTTACATGGCCTCAAAACACCAATATAAATCGAAACAATCACGCTGACTTGAAAGAATTTACTCAGTGACTAGTGAGGTCGAAAACGTTGAAGTTATTCCATTCCACATTACGAAGCAGCTGACGAAGTGATCAGGCTATAGCTACACTTGATCGAGATTTGCATGAAAATGACATTTTCGCAATTGAAAAACAAAGAAGTTTGCTAGGTTTGCTGCCACAAATAGATAAATCAATATAAAATGATCCAAGGCTTGGCGATTTCGATGTACATGCACTGATTGGTCGCCATTACCATTATATCATTAAGAAATATTCCCGCTATTTCGTAAGAGATGTAAGAGTTTGAAAAGCATAACATTACATATAGTTTTTTTTTTATCTTTAAGCCAAACGTCTGCCGTCATGGCGTATTTTATATTTGTATATTGAAGTATAATTACTTACGTATAGTACTAACTCAAGCAACAGTGTTCTAGTTACTGAATACCATTTCTAAGTTCAAGTTTTGAAGACAACTTTTTTTTTAAATCGTCTAAACTCGAGGGCAATGATTTGCACTGTTTTTCGCCCCAGGAAAACAGAACATTGCACGTGGACCTTCGCTAACAAAGCAAAATGTCATCAAAAAATATCAAAAATAGACGGCATCATCCCATTGGAGCTTATAAAACTAAACATGATGTTTCAACGAATAACACTGCGCGTAAGAAGAAACCTTGAATTTTTAAATATTTTCTACATTGCGTCACAAACTTGTTCTAACGAGAACTTCTTTAAATAAAGAAGAGAGAAAGAGTTTTGCATTTAGCTCCACTTTTGGAGAGAGACATAGTTCAAGAAGCTGACGATGTAAGCTTTCATTCGGTTCTGGTTATCTTTTTCAGACCTTAATTTGCTCGTTTTGTTGTTAAACTTCACTTTATTTATTCTCTACATTTCAGTTTTTTGCTGTTTCTGCCCATACAACCAAGTGAAACGTTGTGTTACTTCAGAGGTAATTGATTTAGATATGTTTACATGCGTTTAATGTTCAAATGCTGCGATTTAAATGCCTCTTTCGTTTTAGTGAAGATAGGAATTGTTTAAAACTGTTCCGCTGGTCTAAAACCAATGGAAAGAAACTAAATAATTGGTCATTTGTTCACATTAAATAAATTCTTGTTATAAAGAATGAAATGTTTTCACGAACATGAAAACTAGATCACTTAAAATACAAGACTACATTATTTAATTCAAGATGGGAAACTGTCGAAAATGAACTGCTCAGTTGTTTGGTGCCCTGAGAATTAATTTACGCCCAAAATGTAGCTTTATTTTGAGTATTTTGAATAACAAACTGAATAAACTAAATTCGAAACTCGAAAAATAAAAGAACACAACCCTCTCGGCTTAGTTTTCCTTTCTTTACAAAACAGTAAAATCCACTGGGAATGATTTCTACAGAATGAGATCATGCAGTGGATAGATAATGGCTCCGTTTCCTGAGTCATGACATTCTTTAATTTTGTTATGCTTTTGCTCTTGATAGTTCTAGTTTTAAAATCATTTCTCTTTGGTTATATCAAAAATCTTAAAAAAAATGCCCGAAGCATATTGTAAGGAATTGAACGAAGGCTGAACCTTGTTTTTTTAGCTGGGTCTTATTCTCAACTAGTTTTCAGGCCTAGTTTTTATAGACTGACCCCTTTTTTTTGAACAAAAGAGGCAGTGATATATTTTATTGCAAGGGACCTAAAGACCACGACTTTGTTTCGCGTATGATATTATCATGTCATCAGCAGTAAGGAAACTAAAGGTGAAAAAATACAAGAACGGAAGGCTTCATTCTATTCAACAAATCCGTGTCTAAACAAAAAACAAAGCGTCCTGACTAATAGCATTATACGTGTCAGAATTTACCTTGTCTCAAAAAACTTGTTCTGACGAGTAACTCATTAAACAAACATAGAAAAACGAGTCTGCAGCTTAGTCTGAAATAAGACGATACAAGAAACTGCGGCAATGTAAGTTTTCATTTGAGTTCGACATATTTTTATTAATTGTTTCCTCATTTTTAAATTACATCTTACAAACTCTTTTCTTTTCGTTTCTTCCTTTTAGTCTTTGCTGTTACGCTTTGTTACTTCAGAGGTAAAAAGTTCAGTTTTTTCATTTGACTGAGTTCAGAGTTTAGTAGTTTGATCGCTAAAAATGCGTCTGCAGTTCAATTAATCAACGAAATACTTTTCTCAATTTTGAAAAACACTTAAGAACGGTAACTTAAATCCATTTTACAGTAAAAGTTCCTTGTGTGTAAATCACTTTTGGTGTATAGTTTAACAACTTAGGTTTTAACCATTTCAAGAACATTTAAGCGTACTGTATTTCTTTTCTGAGTCAAGCTAAGAACTTCTCGTTTCCATGAAGATACTATTTTTAAAATGAAAAGTTCCTCTTGTGTGTTAATGATTTGTCACCAACATAAGTTTCAATTGCTAAAGTCCAATTTTCGTCTAGCCATGGGAACCTGAGACATGAAACAATTAAGTCCAAAAGTTTTCTATCTATACTTATTAAATTAAGAGTTTCATTAAATTGAACGTCTGGCATTGAACGTAGTTTCGAAAATTTGTTTTTATTTTCAGTAGATTGTATCCAAAAACTGTGGCGAAATATTGCTGAATTCGTTAGGATAGAATTAATTTAAATAGAGAAAAATTAAGATGATAAGCGTGAACTTCCAGGAAAATCGAACGATAAATTCAGAATGTTAAAGGAAGGCCCAACAAAACTACGAGAATTCGAAATTTATGAAAACTTAAGATATTTGCAAGAACGTCGATAAAAAACGAAAAAGACTTTGTCCACACTAATTAACATTGTTGTTTTACAAGGAGTGTTTTTCCATCGAAGTATGTTTGAAAGTGGATTCCAACGAGTAAATTGTCTTTCCTTCCTTTTCTTGCTAATGCTAAATTTGCAAATTATCATACCACGTGCTTAACTACCTCAAAGGAAAGTAAATTTAAAATAAGAATCCATTTCATTGGTCGATTGAGAATAAATATAACCAATGAGACAGCACGTCTTTTTAATTATACTTCGAACGTGTATCAACCCGTTTATGATGATAACAAAGAAAAGAGTCCACGCCATTGGTCGATTTAAACTTTATCCAGCCAATAAGGCTGTTGGTCTTATTTTTGCATTTTACAAGTAAACATAGGCAAACATGTTTTCACGTGAAACTCGCTCACTGTATAGAGATAAAAAGTTCTGTTACATCGCTGATGCGTCATCATCCTTCAGTTGACAGCAACGGGAATAAGGTAGGAACTGTATCAAATATGCTTATTTAACCTTAAGAGGATTCCATTTAACAGGCAACAATGTTCAAAACGTGTTCTCAAACGTTTTACTGGAAACTCGTTTACTAGAGAGAGAACTAGAGAGAACGTTTTGTTACATTCTCGGAGTGTCATTTTCCTTTAAATGATACCATCTGGAACAACGTAGGAACGTTTATTTATAAAAAAGCTTATTTAACTGTGCAAGTAAATTTTGTTATCAAGAGAAAATGATCTCGATCTTTCTCAGTTTATACATTAACTTGCAAAATGTCAAGCAAAAAATTGAGCTGAGAATTGTAACGTATCTTTTGATATCGCACTGGGCAAGAAATCATCAAAATTATCTCATCCTGCCGGTTTCTATCGTCAATATTTATTGCCTTGATGTTCATATTCCTTACAGATCACAAAATATCTAACGATGTCACAATCCCATACGAAAATTTCGCCGATCATCATGTTGTGTTTACTGATTTTAACTCTGAGCGCCTTGTGCTATGCAGCTAACAACAACAGCAGTGGTAAAACAACTCCAAACATGGTAAGTTCATTTGCGCCTTCTTCTCTATTTTTCCCCGTCAATAAATGTTTATGGCAGAATGCAAATAAGAACATGAAATTAGAGGAAAGTTTGATGAATTAAATCGCCCGACAACTACTATAGAATTGTCGGTTAAGTCAACATATCAATAGATCAGGATAAAATAAAAGCTTTGTTTCCTCTACACATGTAGGGCACTCACCAGTTTCCACCTCATGGACCTTGTGGTTATGGTGCCTGTTTTTGCGCGCCGGGAATCCCAGGTATGCCGGGAAACCCTGGACCCTCAGGACCAACAGGCATTGCTGGTTCACCCGGTCCACAAGGATCCACGGGACCACGTGGAGACAAAGGCGACGCAGGGAAACCAGGAAGTGAAGGCCTCCAGGGCCTCCAGGGACCACGAGGAACCAAAGGTGACGCAGGCAATAAAGGAAGTCAGGGCCCTCCAGGCCCGAAGGGCCTTCCAGGCACGTTGGGAAGTAACTGGAAACAATGCGTTTGGAAAAATATAAACGACGGTAAGGATACTGGATTGATCAAGGTAAATATTGCAGAAGAATAATCGGAATTTTACTCCTAGGCGTCTCATTAGACATGGTTAGTAGGTTAACCCAGTAGCTATCCAAAGCAAAAAAAAGACGTTGTTGCAACTTGATTAATCGTGCGACAAAACAAGAGAAACCAACGAATGGAATTTTAAAGCAATAACCTACGTAATCCGTAACATTGAAGTCTAAAATAGTAATGCCGTACAATTTGAGTGATCATCTAGTTTCTAGGCTAACATCTTTACATTTCTAGTTGACCTTGTTTTTTATTTTATTTCTGTAGGAATGCGTTTTCAAGAAAAAGTCAGACAACTCAGGCCTGAGGGTGTTTTGGAATGGCAATCTTCGCCTCTATAACTGCCATGGTTGCTGCAGACGATGGTACTTCACTTTCAACGGTACCGAGTGCTCTGCTCCAGCAGCGATTGATGGTGTGGTCTACATGGTGCATGGAAATGGCTACAAAAAGAACTTGCACCGTCCACGACAAATCGAAGGAGTATGTGAAAAAGTCCACAAGGGTGTTGTGCGCGTGGGATTCTGGGTCGGTAACTGTGCTGGTTTCGGATCTGCTGACGCCTACACAGGATGGAATTCAGTGTCCCGGATCTATGTGGAAGAAGTACCACCCCCACAGGCCTGAAAAACCAGATTCTGAAGCTTTGTTCGTGGGAGGGTTAGAACGTAGATTGAGGCGCGTCAGAGTTAAGAGTAATAAGTGTGAAGTCTAAGAAACAGATTTAAAAAACAGTTTTGTGGTTGAAATTGATAAACGATCAAGTCAATCAAAGTTTTAATAAATTGTGATAATCTAAAGAGATAAGGGCATTTTTAAATACTAAGCAACCTTCTTGAGCCATGTAGAGCACAAAGCTTGTGTTTCAGTTTGTTGGTGAAGGGATATGGAAATAAACAAGAGGTAGTTGAATACCCAAGAGCCAAAGTTGCAGTCACCAGTTTTGTTTGTTTTGTTATTAAATTATCTCCATTTTAAAGGAACAGAAAATAAATCTCCTTTATAGCGGTGCTCAGTTACATTAACGAAAGAAGGAAAGTCGCTCAAATTAGGAACCTTAGCTTTCGTGTTTCATGATAAAAACCAAGAACCTATCTCTTAGCAAAAGAGCCCTAGTCAGCCACACCTTTGTTTTTTGTTGACTATTATATTTTATTCAGAGTATGTCGAAAAGAGGGAAATGACAAGGAAACTACTGAAGATAATTAAACATACTTTCAGGAACTCAACTTACTATAAAGCATTAAACCTTAAGAGCACTGTAACGGTTACAGTGCTTTTCGTCATCACTATACTCTCCCATTAGATGCATACGCTAAAGAGAGCCATATCAGTATGGGAAAGGCTAGATGATGTATACAGCAAGCGAGCAAGAAGCTTGTGGCGCTTGGATTTTCAGCCGAAGCACAAAATAACAAAAAGCGAGCTAGAACGCTTTCCCCGGCTTCAGGTTGAAACATTTGCTTTAGACTAAGGTATTTATGATATGTTGTTGAGAATTGTTCTTGAATTCAAATTTTGAGTTGGATCGCCGTTTTTCCGCAACATTCTCCATTTTATGTGCTACTTATGTGGTCTATGTATTCAATACATGGTACATGCACTCCAGTCTCTCCAACACTCTGTAGTCTTGCAGTTGTTACTTTCTCTCCTTTCTACCAATAGCACCTGTTATTTTTACCAGTAAAATAGGGTTTGACATCGTGTTTCCTTTGACTGGTTCTTCTAGCCAGGGAGGGGAGGTTGTTATACCAAAACTGAGTGGCAACTTAGCTTGTTGTGCTGGGAGTTGTTTGTCGCAATGTCCTTGGTGTCTAAGCACTCAAGTAAGNAATGGAAAGAAACTAAATAATTGGTCATTTGTTCACATTAAATAAATTCTTGTTATAAAGAATGAAATGTTTTCACGAACATGAAAACTAGATCACTTAAAATACAAGACTACATTATTTAATTCAAGATGGGAAACTGTCGAAAATGAACTGCTCAGTTGTTTGGTGCCCTGAGAATTAATTTACGCCCAAAATGTAGCTTTATTTTGAGTATTTTGAATAACAAACTGAATAAACTAAATTCGAAACTCGAAAAATAAAAGAACACAACCCTCTCGGCTTAGTTTTCCTTTCTTTACAAAACAGTAAAATCCACTGGGAATGATTTCTACAGAATGAGATCATGCAGTGGATAGATAATGGCTCCGTTTCCTGAGTCATGACATTCTTTAATTTTGTTATGCTTTTGCTCTTGATAGTTCTAGTTTTAAAATCATTTCTCTTTGGTTATATCAAAAATCTTAAAAAAAATGCCCGAAGCATATTGTAAGGAATTGAACGAAGGCTGAACCTTGTTTTTTTAGCTGGGTCTTATTCTCAACTAGTTTTCAGGCCTAGTTTTTATAGACTGACCCCTTTTTTTTGAACAAAAGAGGCAGTGATATATTTTATTGCAAGGGACCTAAAGACCACGACTTTGTTTCGCGTATGATATTATCATGTCATCAGCAGTAAGGAAACTAAAGGTGAAAAAATACAAGAACGGAAGGCTTCATTCTATTCAACAAATCCGTGTCTAAACAAAAAACAAAGCGTCCTGACTAATAGCATTATACGTGTCAGAATTTACCTTGTCTCAAAAAACTTGTTCTGACGAGTAACTCATTAAACAAACATAGAAAAACGAGTCTGCAGCTTAGTCTGAAATAAGACGATACAAGAAACTGCGGCAATGTAAGTTTTCATTTGAGTTCGACATATTTTTATTAATTGTTTCCTCATTTTTAAATTACATCTTACAAACTCTTTTCTTTTCGTTTCTTCCTTTTAGTCTTTGCTGTTACGCTTTGTTACTTCAGAGGTAAAAAGTTCAGTTTTTTCATTTGACTGAGTTCAGAGTTTAGTAGTTTGATCGCTAAAAATGCGTCTGCAGTTCAATTAATCAACGAAATACTTTTCTCAATTTTGAAAAACACTTAAGAACGGTAACTTAAATCCATTTTACAGTAAAAGTTCCTTGTGTGTAAATCACTTTTGGTGTATAGTTTAACAACTTAGGTTTTAACCATTTCAAGAACATTTAAGCGTACTGTATTTCTTTTCTGAGTCAAGCTAAGAACTTCTCGTTTCCATGAAGATACTATTTTTAAAATGAAAAGTTCCTCTTGTGTGTTAATGATTTGTCACCAACATAAGTTTCAATTGCTAAAGTCCAATTTTCGTCTAGCCATGGGAACCTGAGACATGAAACAATTAAGTCCAAAAGTTTTCTATCTATACTTATTAAATTAAGAGTTTCATTAAATTGAACGTCTGGCATTGAACGTAGTTTCGAAAATTTGTTTTTATTTTCAGTAGATTGTATCCAAAAACTGTGGCGAAATATTGCTGAATTCGTTAGGATAGAATTAATTTAAATAGAGAAAAATTAAGATGATAAGCGTGAACTTCCAGGAAAATCGAACGATAAATTCAGAATGTTAAAGGAAGGCCCAACAAAACTACGAGAATTCGAAATTTATGAAAACTTAAGATATTTGCAAGAACGTCGATAAAAAACGAAAAAGACTTTGTCCACACTAATTAACATTGTTGTTTTACAAGGAGTGTTTTTCCATCGAAGTATGTTTGAAAGTGGATTCCAACGAGTAAATTGTCTTTCCTTCCTTTTCTTGCTAATGCTAAATTTGCAAATTATCATACCACGTGCTTAACTACCTCAAAGGAAAGTAAATTTAAAATAAGAATCCATTTCATTGGTCGATTGAGAATAAATATAACCAATGAGACAGCACGTCTTTTTAATTATACTTCGAACGTGTATCAACCCGTTTATGATGATAACAAAGAAAAGAGTCCACGCCATTGGTCGATTTAAACTTTATCCAGCCAATAAGGCTGTTGGTCTTATTTTTGCATTTTACAAGTAAACATAGGCAAACATGTTTTCACGTGAAACTCGCTCACTGTATAGAGATAAAAAGTTCTGTTACATCGCTGATGCGTCATCATCCTTCAGTTGACAGCAACGGGAATAAGGTAGGAACTGTATCAAATATGCTTATTTAACCTTAAGAGGATTCCATTTAACAGGCAACAATGTTCAAAACGTGTTCTCAAACGTTTTACTGGAAACTCGTTTACTAGAGAGAGAACTAGAGAGAACGTTTTGTTACATTCTCGGAGTGTCATTTTCCTTTAAATGATACCATCTGGAACAACGTAGGAACGTTTATTTATAAAAAAGCTTATTTAACTGTGCAAGTAAATTTTGTTATCAAGAGAAAATGATCTCGATCTTTCTCAGTTTATACATTAACTTGCAAAATGTCAAGCAAAAAATTGAGCTGAGAATTGTAACGTATCTTTTGATATCGCACTGGGCAAGAAATCATCAAAATTATCTCATCCTGCCGGTTTCTATCGTCAATATTTATTGCCTTGATGTTCATATTCCTTACAGATCACAAAATATCTAACGATGTCACAATCCCATACGAAAATTTCGCCGATCATCATGTTGTGTTTACTGATTTTAACTCTGAGCGCCTTGTGCTATGCAGCTAACAACAACAGCAGTGGTAAAACAACTCCAAACATGGTAAGTTCATTTGCGCCTTCTTCTCTATTTTTCCCCGTCAATAAATGTTTATGGCAGAATGCAAATAAGAACATCGAAATTAGAGGAAAGTTTGATGAATTAAATCGCCCGACAACTACTATAAAATTGTCGGTTAAGTCAACATATCAATAGATCAGGATAAAATAAAAGCTTTGTTTCCTCTACACATGTAGGGCACTCACCAGTTTCCACCTCATGGACCTTGTGGTTATGGTGCCTGTTTTTGCGCGCCGGGAATCCCAGGTATGCCGGGAAACCCTGGACCCTCAGGACCAACAGGCATTGCTGGTTCACCCGGTCCACAAGGATCCACGGGACCACGTGGAGACAAAGGCGACGCAGGGAAACCAGGAAGTGAAGGCCTCCAGGGCCTCCAGGGACCACGAGGAACCAAAGGTGACGCAGGCAATAAAGGAAGTCAGGGCCCTCCAGGCCCGAAGGGCCTTCCAGGCACGTTGGGAAGTAACTGGAAACAATGCGTTTGGAAAAATATAAACGACGGTAAGGATACTGGATTGATCAAGGTAAATATTGCAGAAGAATAATCGGAATTTTACTCCTAGGCGTCTCATTAGACATGGTTAGTAGGTTAACCCAGTAGCTATCCAAAGCAAAAAAAAGACGTTGTTGCAACTTGATTAATCGTGCGACAAAACAAGAGAAACCAACGAATGGAATTTTAAAGCAATAACCTACGTAATCCGTAACATTGAAGTCTAAAATAGTAATGCCGTACAATTTGAGTGATCATCTAGTTTCTAGGCTAACATCTTTACATTTCTAGTTGACCTTGTTTTTTATTTTATTTCTGTAGGAATGCGTTTTCAAGAAAAAGTCAGACAACTCAGGCCTGAGGGTGTTTTGGAATGGCAATCTTCGCCTCTATAACTGCCATGGTTGCTGCAGACGATGGTACTTCACTTTCAACGGTACCGAGTGCTCTGCTCCAGCAGCGATTGATGGTGTGGTCTACATGGTGCATGGAAATGGCTACAAAAAGAACTTGCACCGTCCACGACAAATCGAAGGAGTATGTGAAAAAGTCCACAAGGGTGTTGTGCGCGTGGGATTCTGGGTCGGTAACTGTGCTGGTTTCGGATCTGCTGACGCCTACACAGGATGGAATTCAGTGTCCCGGATCTATGTGGAAGAAGTACCACCCCCACAGGCCTGAAAAACCAGATTCTGAAGCTTTGTTCGTGGGAGGGTTAGAACGTAGATTGAGGCGCGTCAGAGTTAAGAGTAATAAGTGTGAAGTCTAAGAAACAGATTTAAAAAACAGTTTTGTGGTTGAAATTGATAAACGATCA